TCACTGCCAACAGACTTGTTACATAGACTCTATAAATCCTATCTAAAGATGATCTCTCTGAACCCGTTTTTCCCCTGGTTCCTCGTGAACTAGACCTAATACTTGAACTTGAAGTGCAATCTACATAGTTTTTTTTTATATATATTTGTCTACGTTATAGTCGACTATCTTTATTTAAATACTACTGTTCATGTTTGTATTGTTCAAAGTGAAAGTTATTTTTTTACCTGAATATTATATATATATATATAAAAATAAATAAGGGTATTGCATCTATTTTAAAAAGATATTGTTCAATGTGATCTGTCTTTGTCATTCCTGTTTTCATGAAAAGAGTTCTTATATGTTACATTTCATTACACCTGCCAATGGGTTACATTGAACTATAATAAACAAAAAATCAAAAATTCACCTGAATCTTTTTGCGTTTCGTTGTTATTTACTGGGTTATATGTTACATGGAAAGGTGAATAGCACTTCCGTGTCTGTGAAGGTTCTCGTTCATCCAGGTTCATGGTATATCTGTAAAAAAAATAAATCAAGGCAACTGGACTTTCTTGAGAGAAAAATACAGCAATTCCAGTTGCCTCGACTTATATTTTTTTACAGATATGAATAGCACTGAGCACAATTCCATGAATGAAGTACACAGCCACCTGTTCCCCTGGTCAGACGTCGAGATAATGAATCCCGTATTCGGGGACACGGTGCGGGGAATGTCTACGGGCTCGTTCACTGTTCTGGCAGAGTTCCTAGACTGGAAAAAAACATAACATGTTAGTCTGAGGACGGGGGGACAGATTATTGATACTGTAACTGACCTCATTTTTTATTCCTCAGCGATGCTTGCCTAGACATCCAGAAACAATGTTGTCATCGTGTTAAGCAAAGGAAGTTCATTCACAATATTAAAGGGTCTTTTTTTCCTAAAAATCTGGGGAGATTCCAAAAAAAGATCCACAATCAAACAGTGCAAAGCCAAACATACAGTCCAATCCTTACCACGGACACATGGCCAATGAGGACAGGAGCCGGGTAACTGGCCGATATGTTTTTTTTTCAGGAGTGTGGTGTACCTAAAGCAGTGGTAGGCAACCATGGCACTCCAGCTGTTGTGGCATTACAAGTGCCACGAGCCATTGCAAGACTCTGACAGCCATATACTGTACATGACTCCTACAGGCATGATGGGAGTTGTAACTTGCCTACGCCTGGCCTAAAGGAGACCTGCACAAAAACACACACAAAGTCCAATAGGGCATCTTTGCTGGGAATCGGACCCATGAGCCATTTCAATATGTATTGCATTGTATAGAAACAAAGTATTACACAAATGAGTGACATATCCCTCACACATCTACATTACGTGCTGCCCCGGACAGCTACTGCTGACTCATTTATAGACGCGCGAGTGAAAGTAGCTTTTTGTTGCGGCGGAGCGCCCTCCAGTGTCACGGATAAATGCCTTCCTATACAAAGCAAAGGTTGCAGAAAATGCAGCGTAATGCCATTTGCTGGCGGAGAAAGTTTAAACCAGGGCTGCAGAAGGGACCGGAGCTCTCTGCAAGGCACTTGGGAGGAATAGAGCAGGGGTAGGCAACCTCCAGCTGTGGTGACACGACAAATCCTATCATGCTTCTGCGTCCGGGTGTCACGCCTGTGGCTGACAGAGTCTTGCAATGCCTCGTGAGACTTGTAGTTCCATAACAGCTGGAGTGCTGAGGTTGCCTACCCATTGTTTAAACGTTCCATTTTCCTGCAAGTGCTCAACACTCTGCAAATTGGCAAAGGCAGTATAGGCCTGTGCCTGTGGGCATTTATCAGGGCAGGGTTCTTGATGGTAACAACAGTGGACCATGGATGTATAATGTGTGTTGAAATGGCTACTTGAAGGCCTCATTCTCACTTGGATATTAGGTCCAACAAAGGATTGCTGCGGCAGGTGGTTCTGGCTGCTCAGCCTGTAGAAAGCAATGACAAGCGGGCAGGAACCCCATCTTTCCACCGCTGTTCACACGTTTCCATTGGAAGCCCATGCAAAAGGGATTGGATTGTGTAGTGCTTGAAGCAAGGGGTAGGCAACCTCGGCACAGCAGCTGTTGTGGAACTATAAGTCACATGAGGCATTGCAAGACTCTGACAGCCATAAGGCATGACTCCCAGAGCCAGGGACGTGATGGGATTTGGGGCAGGGATATTAAGTGCAACAAAGGATTCCTGCGGCAGGTGGTTCCGGCTGCTCAGCCTCTACAAAGCAATGACAGGTTGACGGGAGCCCCAACTGTTTGCCACTAATGGTATGTCTCCATTGGAAACCCATGCAACAGGGTGACAACATGAGTGCCACTGGGAAGACATGGACGGATCGTTGTCACCCTATAACAGGAGGCACTTCCTGCCGGAATCACCAGGGATTAAAAAGTCACTAAAAATTTCTTTTGGATTGGAATTAGAAGGAGAGCAGTGGCAGCTCCCCATGTTCCACTTGCCGCCCTTTAAAAAGCAAAATGTGACCGAGTCATGTATCATTCTGCAAATAAAAGCCCAACCGAATCCTAGCACCCGGTAACAAAGTATATTTAGTCATTAGAGATGTCTGAACATCCGTGGCAGATGCCCAGGCCGGCGGCCAGCGATAAACATGGTGGTGTTGTGTTCCCTGGTGTTTGGCCTCGGTAGATAAAACCTGAATACACATACATTTCCCGCATTTTCCGTTCTGAGTTATCCTATTATCCCAGATGCTTCTGTCCAAGAGTAAAGATTGTGCAATCAGCAAATAGAATCAATGTAACTAAAACATTTTTTGTTGTTCTCATGGCTCATTGGGATGTTATTTGCTCTGGAACGCTGGAACCTGTTTGGGAGATGAGGCAGACCAAAAATGGTGCTCTGCTGCCACCTATAGGGAGAATAGGAGTGCTGCAGGTGCAATCCTGGGATGTGGTTTGGATACATATCCTCTGTTACAGTGTTTTTTCAGCCATGGGTTAGGACACAAATTGGGTCGGGGACGGGTTAGTAGTCAGTGATATACCACCCATTATTTATGTGAGGGGTGTAGCGTGGGGGGGAGGGGGGCGGCATCAAATTTTAAGGGGCACCGCAGGCAGCTGTCCCCCTTGTACTGGGCTCCATATAGGGTTGCCACCTGTCCAGGATTCACTCGGACAGTCCGGGTTTTGAATGCTGTGTCCGGGTTTCATGGCAGCAGAAACCCGGACACAAGATGTTATGCAGACAGGGGCAACCAAAATTAAGGTAGGTGCTGCATTGGAAAACGCACCTGATTTCACGGTGGAAGTCTGTTTTGCATTTATGACTTTTAAGACTTTGAAAGACTCAGTCAATTTCGACTACCCACACACACACATATATATATATATATATAAATGTTTATTAATAATCCATTTTTGGATTAATATTTGCACATAGAGTGTTGCATTCGATTGTTGTGTTACCATTTTATTGATATATGTTTATATACACATGACACATACTCTTGTATACTTTCTCATACTTTCCTACACGTTTTTAGATTTTAAACACAGGTTTGATACATTTTTTACTATCCACTGAACAGTTGTTTTTTGACATTTTTTTGGATCAATATCCTTTTACACACTGTCAGTTTTTTTACACGTTTTTCACTTTATTTATATAGATGTCTCTGAAACTTTTTTTTATAAATTTTTTATATTTTTCATATGAATGCTCCAAGCTTGGATCATAACAGTTTGATCTTTCGCATGTCCATCAATGAAGGACGTTTAGCGCTGTACCATTTAACACATCTTCACTACAGCGGCCGAGTGCCTGAGTCCAGCAGCTTCTCGTACTCTTCTAGAAAAATGCTAAAAATTATAGAAATCAATTTTTTGTATATATTTTTTTAGTCCTTGGTTTATATTTATTCATTTAATATTATTGCTCTCCATTAGCGCAAGTTCTTGCAAATATCTAAGGTAGGTGCTACTGGCCCCCCACTGAAAATAGTCTCAACTGTGATATTTACATATGAACGGGTTGCGCTATTTACATATGATTCAGCTACGACTTATTCTCCCAAAAAAAGTCAGTGCATCACTGGAGTGTTCAGGTTTCGATTGAAGAAAAGGTGGCAACCCTAGCTCCATAGGGTCAGCAGTGTGGTTGGGAGCTCGAGTTGGGATCTGCCGCAGCTCTCTCCTCCCCGCTGGGAGTCGTTTGCATGCTGCAGTCTGCCCCCTCCCCCATGCACACACAACATGTGCGGTAGGGGGGCGCAATACTTGCCTTGCCCCAGGCACTGCAGAGATCCAACACACACACCCCTTAAACCCTTTATTACGTCAGAGCAAGATCTCTCCAATCAGCAGAGAGCATAACATTTGCAGAGTCCCTCTGTGAGTCTCTCACTCAGTAGGGGATGGATCTCTGTGGAGAGACCACTGCTTCCACACGGAGAGCAAGGGACTAACACGCTCCTTGCTGAGCCAGAGCAAGATCTCTCCAATTAGCAGGAAGCAAAACCATTTGCAGAGTCCCTCTGTGAGTCTCTCACTCAGTAGGGGATGGATCTCTGTGGAGAGACCACTGCTTCCACGGAGAGCAAGGGACTAACACGCTCCTTGCTGAGCCAGAGCAAGATCTCTCCAATTAGCAGGAAGCAAAACCATTTGCAGAGTCCCTCTGTGAGTCTCTCACTCAGTAGGGGATGGATCTCTGTGGAGAGACCACTGCTTCCACATGGAGAGCAATGGTCTGACATGTTCCTTGCTGAGCCAGAGCAAGGTCTCTCCAATCAGCAGGGAGCATGAGCATTGCTAATTGGAGAGCTCT